TTTTTTTTTTTTTTTTTTTCTTTTTTTTTCTTTTTCCCAAGGACGAGAGAGGGTGTGTGTGTGTGTGTGTGTGTGTGTGGGAAGTCATGGATTGGTGAAGAGGAGATGAGGGGAGGTTGGAAGGGGAGAGGGTTACAAGCAGCCAGCCAGCCAGACCCGCGCATGAGGAGGGAGGAGGAAGGCGGAGGAGAGAAGCTCGGGGCGGATCTATAGTCTGCAAAGGATCTCGGTGTTGGTTGGTTGATGGAGGGAGGGGTTTGATGGCTGGGTTTGATGGCTCGGTTTATGGATGGCCGTTGGAGCGAATGAAAGGGGAAGGGAGGGGAGGAGTGGTTTTAGTGTTGTCGAGGTTGGGAGGATGAGATTAGTTAGTGAGTGAGTGATTCGAGAAGCTGAGAGATGGTAGGCAAGTATCCTGACTTGTGGCGAGATAAAATGAGTGAGTGGTGGCTTTTTATATGTTGTTGTGGTTTGAAGGTAGCGATGGATGGTGAGGTGGGAGAAATGAACGGGATTGGATTTTTTTTTAATAACGAATGGATGAATGGAGAGCTTGGTCTTTTGCTGTATGTACTCGTGCGGCCAGCATATCTGTCCCCATGCGTTGATCATTTTGAACCGGGGAAAGAGGCTGTAACGCTCTGTATGGTTGGCTACGCGTATATTGAGAAAATCCGACTCTATATTTGGGACGATTTTCGACGTGGGGACAGATATCCTGGCCGCAGGAGTAAGGACGTGTGTTGTCTGGATAAGGCTTGACTTCGATTTATTCGCCAGGCCATGGTCGAGGGGGGCTGCCAAGCATCTAATCGTCGGCTCGCTTAAGTAGGCCTCCTTACAGCCTTTCAGCTCGAAGTCGGAGGTCTTTCTCCGGGCGGCTTAATGCTTGTTTACATGAGAGTTCTCGAGCTGGAGCCGGAGCGGTCGGGCGTGCAACTCTTTCAGCTATTTTATACTCGAATACCCAACCAGCCAGCCAATCCTTCAGCACTTTCGGCATTTTCTATGGTGGCCTGTAGATACTCTAGGTCTGGTTAATCTATCGTGGCTTCGACAACTTTAGTCACTCCATGTGTAGCGATACAGACTAGCGCAACTGCATTTAGCTAAGCTAAGCTCCCTTCTTCCCGAACAACACTTTCCCGAGCCCTCATCTTTCTATGGAGGGTCGCAGGCACCTTTTAGTCAGTAGATGACCTTATAACCCCTCGCAAGCTACTCGGTACTGTTGTGGCTCCGTTCAGCATCTACACGTGACTTGGGTTCTCGGCTAAAAAGTCAGACCCTGTTTACCTCCCTCAATCCCAGCTCTGGGTCTAGACCTACTCACCACAATCTCCAACCCCACGACCAAGCAGCGACTCCAGATTTACAGCTGCAGGCCATTCCTTCTATCCTAATGTGCTCTGCGACTCGCTTTATGATCTGCTCGAGGTACTATTCGTGAAATTTAAATGGACCGCGATCTATCATATTCTCTTCACGCCATCCCGCTCCCCCCACAGCAAGTCGCTCCTTCTTAACAATGATTCGACGAGACCTTCAATACCGTCGTCTTATTATGCTTGCTTGGCCCAGAAATGAGTACAAAAGGGCCCTCATTCTTCTTCGTTTCACTTATATTTTACAAAATCCCATTTGCCCCCACGCTCGTCTAAATGACCACTGACAGCTCGGACAGAACTCGCGTTTCTCTTCACGGCATTCAACTCGCTGACTGAACCCATCTCGTCAGGTTTCATCTGTATCATGGCATGGGGGTTTTCGCATTCTCAGTTACCACTCCCTACGGAGCCATCTCCTCTTCGATCCTGTGTGATGTGTCAAGTTTGGGCTCGGGCTTGTCCTCTTGTTGGATCGGCCGTGTGCTACCGCACTCTCCATTTTCCATGCAGTTGAAGCTGGATTCGATGGGCAGCATACGATCAGTGGACGCCATTTAGTCCATTCTAAGATCTTACGGATCCCTCACCCTGGTCTCACAGGATGGTGAGACACCAGTTGTCCTGAAATTACCAGGCGCCGTTGGCTTACGTTCCTACTGATAATATTCTATAAGAATCGGCAGGTGCCGCTGATCTCAGTCTCGAGCTACATCGTCATCCAACCCATCTTGACAGTGGTATTCCCCCCCACCCCCTCTCACGACGAGCACTCGAGGTACCTGGACGGACTGACGTGTCCGTGTTGGTGTCTCCGCGATGGCCCGGGATTCGGGACAGTCATGTCAGTTTCACTGCATCCCGCCTTTTGGTCGAATATAAAGTTGTAACCGTTTATGCTTTCGGCAAGACTCCGCCTTCGTCAAACCTTGGTATTCAACGATCGAGAAGTTTGCTATGCCGACTCGTTTTGCCTCCACAGTAAGCATGAGATCAACACCGAATGTCACTGGCGAGGCACCGCAAGGGAGAATGACTTTATCCCAATATTAATTTATTTAGGATATACTGATGTGTTTTCTAGATCAAAAATGCCACCCAAACTTTTCTCTAGTCTTCCATAACACCCCAAGCCCTAGAAGCGCCATCGAACACAAATCCCCAGGCTCCTTCTATCGTATCACCTATCGCAATCTCCTCGGTCTCGTGCCGGACTGGTGCTCGCCTCTCCATAAGCCATCGAAAAGATGCCTGAGAAACGCCGCACTTCCAACTTATATCGTCCAGCGGACCAGTAGGCTTATCAACGTCAGTATTTTCTCATGTATCACCTGGTGTCACTGGAAGGGTTTTGCTCACAGCTTAGCAAGGTGATCCGCAAATTGGGCAAGCCTTGCCAGGGATGACCCAAGATTCTTGACCGTTGCCAGCACAAGTTCCGCATCGAACTCCAGTCATCTGTTCATTCGTCAACTACTTTCGTTTTCTCGCGCCAGGGAAGTAGAACTTCTTACCGGAACGACCTTCACTTCAGGGTTCAGAGTGGGCAAGGTGGTGTTCTGGCAGACCATCACCTTCGGGCTAGCACTGCCTTGAACGGCACAGTTGGTTGAGTTGCAGACCATGTTGGCGGTTGACCTGGGAAGATATTTGATGAAGGTCCGAAAGAAGGATGAGTTGAGTTTGTTTATTTTGCTTTTTTTGATGAGAGCGGTATTGGACGGAGAGAACTGGAGTGACTGAGTGGAAAGGTATGTTCTTCCAAGTCAGCGGCTGGGAATGGCGGCTTATATGCTTTTTTCCCCCCTTCGCGAATCCTATCTTGAGATAAGTTCGACTTATCACAGTCCTGCAGGAAACCCAAGATCTTTCCGACTACCGCGCGGGAGCTACGGTAAAAGAGATTGCTCAGCTGATTCACGGAAGTATGCGTATGGTATCAATTTACGACTTGAACACAACTTTCTGAATCTACCGTCTGCAGGCGGGCGACCGTTGATGGAAGCTTTCGTGTAATACTCGACCCTGAGTAGAAGCGGCTCCACTGCGACGGATGCTCTGTGTTGCGAAAGAACGATGGACACCCAGGTAAAAGTCACAAGGTGACGGCCATGGACCTGCTAGCCGAAATGCAAGCTAGTAAACATCCGTCTGGATAGGTACGAAACCGATGCAAACAACCGAGTGCTAACCAGCACAGGTCATATTTGGAAACTTTGGCCCTTATGCCTAGGGATTATGTCTAGAATTCAACTCTAAAGCAGCGCGGTGGTCTGATATGTCACAAAAGTTGCGGCACCATGAACCAACGTCCGGGCGTATAGCGTTGGCCATTCTGCACCCGTTGCTCGGGGCTCTGCGCATACTGGCCATGGGCCTTGTGTAATATGTGGCCCGTGAGGTCTGGGATCCGAACTCAGCATATTCGGGGTCCAGCGAGCTCGAGAGGATCAATACCGGTACGTGGTGTGGTAAGTGAAGTCGTAGCGGGTCATGATCCACTTTCTCAAGCTTATCAATCAGATCAATCAAGTCATGTCAGAAGAGATCAGACAACAATATTGATACATGTACCTTCTAACAAACATGAAAGGGGGATTACCACACGGAGCTCCGAATTGAATTTTTGGTACAACGCACCTCTATCTGGGTATTGAAACTCTCCCAAGAAGCTGGATTTGCTTTTGGAGAGGGTGGTCTTACGTATTTACCGGTCAATCGGCTGTTGGATCTGCACCTTTCCAGGGACCAGGAACTGGCCTTCGTACGCTCTGATACGGGCTGTATACCGGTACCTCCTCAGCGCTCCTCCTACCAGTGCTACCTCGACCGCCAATCTCGAGTATGGTTGATCAATCTGCGCAGGTAGGCTGGCTGGCTGTCTTTTCCGTTCCGCTCAGGTTCCAATCCGATCAGTTTGCAAACACAACTGCTCACCCCACGTCGATGCTGCTTGGAGTGGGGATCGGATCGGATCTGATAGATGGTCAGAGTTTGACTTTAGCCAGGGTCCTTCGCTTTGGACGGTGAAGAGCGGCTCGCTTTCGTGCCCGCGTCTCGGAGAAATACATGGTCGTCTCTCATACGGTCCGCAACGAGCAATGCATCGTCTCCGAGATTTCGAGATGATGCGCGATATGCAGCCATGGTGATATGCAGCGAATACATACCTCACCTCTCTCTACAGTATGTGTACTACCCATCATGTTCGGAGGCGCCTTTCGGAAGCAGCTCCGGCATCGGATGCCTTTCAATACAGGACTGTAGGTATGTAGTATGTGCTGCATCCTGCAATGCATGGCCGATTTCGAGATCTCCAATCAGATGGCTCCCCTTCTTTGTTTTGGGTGGTACTCAGCAGCGCCGGCCCTTGCCGACCCTTGTCTCGTTGCGATGCATCACCTCCGGTCTTGACCACCTGTCAAGCAAGCGGAATTCCCCAAGACCATTCAATCTCTGCTTATGTTTGTATCTGCTGGATGTGCGATTGCTTTTGGGACATGAGCGAAGGCCATACCCCCCATTTTGGCGTACTTTCATACCGGGCGAGGGGCTGCAGTGCAGTGCAGGAGCTGTCTCCGCGCTGCAGGTCATCATATATCTCGCTCCAGGTCGAACCGAGATCCAGGAACGGCAGCACCGCCCCCATCTGCATCGCGACAGAGATATTTTCAAGGTGTAGAAGCTGAGACGGACACTCAGCTCGGTCGATCACGGCAGCAGCCGGTATTTCTTTTCGTATGGTGTTGGAACCCGTCGTATCTCTGTTTACCGCGCTGGCCCCTCGCGAGATCAACAACAAGGTTGTTGGTCGCCCAGAGCACGTACGCATTGTGCCCGAGCCGTGCCGTCGACCCATCTACGGCGTCAGGGGGCTTGGGATAACATTTGTCCCGCCGCAGGATGCAGGCTTCCTCCGGACGGGACCTTGCAAGGGCTTCGAGAAGGCCAAAGACACCCTTTTGGCGGGATGTTTGTCTTTGTCTTTCTCTCCTCCCGGCTCCTCCCGGCCGATCTCCCCGGCCCGTCACCCGCCTCGGAAACGGGTGAGTGATCTGTATTCATCCATCGCGCGAGGGCATTCCATGGTTGCCATCTGCATGTCGCGTAGTACCAGAGATGGTTCTCTTCGGTTCGCAGCCAGCTAACCGCCGCTCTATCGTCGCCGCGCTTGCCAATTCACGCAGAAGCAAAACACCAATATCTTGCTGCCGGCAAGCTCGTGAATGTTTGCGCCGGATGTGTTTCCTCCCGCCCCGGCCGTCCCCGACTCCGAAATGCGATTCGGCATCTCGCGCTGATAAGAGAATCCCTAGTAAGCCACTGGGAACCTTTCCCGGTGTATATGGCCCGGCATATCATTTCTGCCAAACCACGCTGCTGGGAACCACCGGCCAACCCCTGCTGCTGTGTCTTCGAGATCTTGTGTGCTACAGTCGCGGCAGAAAGAGCCTTCCTCGCCAGCACGGGCATGCGCTCCCCTCCTTGTTCGAGGGATGCGTTTCCGAAAATTGGTTTCTTTTGTGACGGTCGTCCTGGATCCACTGGGGGGTTTTTTCCCCCCCCCCTTCTTTGTCACGTCGTATCACGCCATGGCCAAACGAAGCCAAGTAAAGTGACTTTACGATCGCTAAGCGAAGTGTAAACACTTGGGTTACACCAGCGGCAGCCCTTCCATTCAGAACCGTCCGATTCCCTGCTGCTTGCGCCCAGGTTCCACCATCATATCTCAACACGACCAGATCGTAGTGCTACACCGGCAATCTCCCTGACGGGATCTCGTCTTCGGAACACTCGCCCTGATCTGCCGGAGGGCCGCTAGTGGCCACCACAAAGCGGCACGCTGCGTTCCCAACACCCCCCTTATTTCGTTCAACGGAAACGGCCGCCACTAGGATTCGAGTCCAGTCTGTCGGGTCGTCGATCAAGCTGAGGTGGAATACGCTCCTGGAGATGGTAGCGGTTCCGGGGACCAGGTTGGCATACATGACGGGGGGGGGGGGGTGTGGGTAGAGTCGATGGTTATCCCGTGCGCTCTCTAGCGTGAGGGGACTTCTTGCATTTTGTTGAGACATCGATGGGATTCCGGGCTTTCACTTTCGTTCGCCTGTGTTTACCTGTTCTGTTCTGTTCTGTTCTGTTCTCACAACTGACAGGAAATCTGTTTAGGCGGGGGAGGCATATCTCAAGTGAGAAACTGCTGCCAGGCGACTCGAAGATGCTGCTCACGGACATCGCAGATATCAAATCAGGTTCATTCCTACCCGGGATGGCGGACGCATTGCTGCAGTCCTGATGCTATTGTTGTTGGTGTCGGTGTATGAGCGTTTATTGCGTGAGGGAGCTTTCCTATCGGGAGCGCAGTCTCATGTGGTGTCCGTGTGCTGCATTCACTGCTGGGGGCCAGTCAGTCAGTCAGTCAGTCAGTCAGTCAGTCAGTCAGTCAGTAGCATCTGATCGCTCTGGTGACCTTCCTTCCTCTCCTCGTCCGGCCCTCGCCATCACATCATACGTATGTCTCCGTCGTGGTCGTGGTCCTGCCCAGCGCTCCGGGGAACGTGAATGAATCCCTGACGGGAGAAACCCACCCGCTCCTCTCCCCACGGCATGTCATACGTCTCCCTCCTGTGCCGGTTGAGTCCTGCCGTGCAGCGAGGGTGGTTGGATGAGCCACGGACGAACCTGCAATCCGGAATCCGGAATCGACGTTCTGGCGCGGATCGCACCAGGTACGGCTCCGTTGGGGGTCTGCCTGCTGTGTGGTCTGTATCCGTCTATGTTTAGGTCTCACTCACTCACTCACTCGCGCCCTCGCGCAGCACAGCAGAGCAGAGCAGAGCTCAATGGCTGGCTGGGTCTCAGACCTACGCACGGCATCACCTCTTTCTTTTTCCTCCTTTCCAAGTAAGTAAGTATCTTCCCTTCCTTTTCCTTCCCTTCCCTTCCCTTCCCTTCCCTCCCGCCCTCCTCCCGGAACATGTATTTCGCTCCCGTCTCCTGTCTGTCTGTCTACCGTATTCTCGAACCCTCTTTTCCCGAACTCAATCGAGGCCGCTACAGTAGCCCTCCCCCCCCCCCCTCTCTCTCCTCTTCTTGTTCTCCTTCTTCAGATCTGCATGCGAAAGAAACCTGGACGAGAAGACATAAATCCTACGTACGTACTGTATACAAGTAAATGTCACGGGACACGGTATGGCGTATTCTTTCCTTCTTGCTTCTTCAAAATTTCCCTTTTTTTTCTTCCTTTTTTTTTCCTTTTTTTTTCCTTTTTTTTTCCTTCACTACTGCCCTGCTCTGCTCTGCTCTGCTCTGCTCTGCTCTGCTCTGCTCTGCTCTGCCTCTCGGGTGACCATGACACTCCTCCACCGATGAGCGCCACAACTCAAACCGCGAGGTCTGGGTCTTTTTCTTCTTCTTTTT